ACATAATAAAAAAAAATATATATATATATATATATATATATATAAACATTTTTTTTCTAAAATCAGACTTGAGTTAAAATTCATGTAAATGCTGAAAGGTAAAGCTTCATCATCTCAAAAATAACAATAAAAATTTAACTGTCTCACATAACATATATTTTACTCAACTGAACTTGTTTGGTGCAGAAAAAAAAAAAGTACAACATGTAAAACACAGAAAGTGAGAAAACCAGACTTAAAAACAATTGAAATGCATCATCAAAACATAAAACACCACAACAGTAATAAAAAGTATAGTGAATTTGATCTTCACTTCACTCCATTCTGATGATACAACGGAGGCCTTCGCCTTTCAGCATAAGCTCGAAAGCCTTGTTAATCTCAGCAAACGGCACCTCATGAGTAATAAACTTCTCCACTTCAAGTTCCTAAAACAAAGAACCGAAAAAAGTAGAAAAAAACATTTATCAATTTATATGAGTGCATAAATTTTAACTTATGGTCATAGAGAAATCGAAAAAAAAAAAAAAAGAAACGAACCTTTTTCAGGTACATTTCGACAACCGATGGAAGATCAGAGCGCGGTTTGTAGTTCCCGAAGAAAGTTCCCTTTAGAGTCCTCTCGTTCAAAAAGTTCATCGGGTGAGTCTTGAAAACGGCGTCTTTGTGAGGCACACCAACTAGAACAGCTACTCCCCATCCCTAAAATGTATCAAATTGTTCGATCGATCTTTTAAAACTTAGAAAACCCAAAAAAAAAAAGAAAGAAAACTAGGAATGTGTCATTTGAGAGATAATTGGAGCTAGAATAAAAGTTAATAGATTTTTTCATTTGACAAATTCTAACTATTGCGAGTACTATACTATTCAAAAGTAGAACTTCTTCGGCTAGATAACTTACATCGTGAACACATTCAAATGCAGATATCATGGCGTTGACATTTCCGGTACATTCCACACATCGATCGACCCCTCCATCAGTCATCTCAGCTATCACCTGCAAAAATATTCCAACACAAATAAAATTATGAACAAAGATACTAAATAATATTGGGATAAAATTTTTTGGTACAACCATATTTTTAATTAATTACCTCTTGAACTGGCTTGTTATAATCCTTTGGGTTCAGAAATTCAGTCACTCCAAATTTCTTGGCTGTATTGATAAAAACGAGTACATTGTCGATTTATTTCAATCGTTGGCAAATAACTAAAAATTGTGAATTATGTAAATGATTTATCACATATACCTTCTTCAAATCTAGCAGGGTTTAAGTCCACACCAATAATTCTTGAAGCACCAGCCAATCGGGCTCCTTCCGCAGCCTAAAATCGACAAAATTACACAAAGAAATGATCATTCACTTCATTACTAAAACAGAAAGAAAGAAACTTTTTAAATCTGTAAATTTGCAACACAAACAGAGGAACTAAGAACATACGGCAAGCCCAACAGCTCCAAGTCCGAAAACAGCAACCGACGAGCCCTTAGTTGGTTTAGCAACATTCAATGTAGCACCAAGGCCTATACACATCAAGAACAAATAAATACAAAAGCCCATTATCTAAAAAAATGGAAAAAAAAAAGGAGAGAGATGTCGAGCGATCGATACCTGTTGAGATTCCGCAACTCAGCACGCAAACTTTGTCGAGAGGAGCAAGCGGATTGATTTTGGCAACACAGCCGGAATGAACCACTGTGTACTCACTAAATGTGGAAGTCCCCACAAAATGGTAAATCGGCTTTCCTTTGATGGAAAATCTCGGTTTTTCATCATGAATCATTACGCCCCGTTCGGTGTTGATCCTCAGAAGGCTGCACATATTGCTTTCTTCGGATTTGCAGTGAGCGCATTCGCCACATTCGCCGGTAAAAACTGGGAGCACGTGATCGCCCGGTGCAAGTTCGGTAACTCCTTCTCCCACACTCTCCACAATCCTATAACACAACGGTAATGAAGAAAGATTCAATTTTGAGGCCTTAAAATGACAATGTGTGAATGAATATATATGATGGTTGATTGGAATTGGAAGCTATGCAATGTATCTATAACATAAGTGGACTAAATTAACCGAGTACCCGGCTGCTTCGTGTCCGAGAATTCGAGGAAAGACAGAATCTTGAGCCTGAAAATCACAGAAAGAGCATTAAACAGGATAAGTCAATCAATTTGGAGAAGAAAGGAAGATAAAGATATGTTCTTAATGTTGACGGGTCGATCCGCCTAACAATTAGGCCGTTTGTATAGGTACACAAGCGATAAATGAAAATGGAATTTCAGTAGCACAAGTCAGTTCAAAATGGTAACAACCCCTCAAGCTTGATTTTATTTCACAAAACACATCAAGCACATCTGTAGACTGTAGTTTCCAGAAGTTTCTGAATTTCATATAATTTACTTTGTTCAGACAAAATTTTCAGCAGCCCCATATTTTGAAATTACTCGAAAATCTAATAAATGACAATAGAACACACACACACACACACACACACACACACACACACACACAAACACATAAGTTCAACTTTCTTGAAATTTTTGGTTAATTTAATTACCTTGGCTTCCCAGAAGTAGACATCGGTGTGGCAGAGGGAGGTGAAGAGGATCTTCAACCGGACCTCCATTTTCTGCGGCGGCGCCACCTCCACCTCCTCAATCACCAGCGGCTTTCCGGCTTCCCATGCAACAGCAGCTGCAATTTCCGAGAAATTAAAAACTTATACATAAATACATTTAAAAATGAATTTGCATACGTGTTCAAGTGCCGGGCCGGTTCACGACTCCGCCCGGCCTGCCGGGTCGGAAGGCCTCAATTGCTAGGCCCAAAACTAGCTCAAATGAACCGGCCCGACCCGGCGGTTCTAGTTTTTAAAAAATCAAATTAAAACAAAATAAAAAAAACAACTATGACCCGTTTCTTTGACACGGGACCAATGCAGAATCGGCCCGACGAGTCAAAAAATACTAAAATTCGACCTTGAACCGACCTTTAAGGGGTCTGGGCCAGTTCAAAAACTGGCTTTATCGGGTATGTTCATGGGCCGGTTCAACGATTGGCCATGTAATAAATGATAAAATTATTATAAATTAGTTAGCCAGGAAAAAAAATAAAAAAAAAAAATCGTACCTTTGCATTTTATGACTTGACCAGCAGTGCTTGACATCTTTACAGTAATCTTTTTCTTGATCAAATTGTGAGAAGTATTTAAAAATTTAATCTTTTTTTAAGTACTTTTAAGTTTTTTTTTTTGCTTGCTTATGGTGAGATGCTTTACACTGCAAAAAGACTGGACTATTTATAAGAGAAAAATTAGTGGCGACAAAAAGACATGTGGCTTTGATTAATTGGTCCGAAATTTGTGAATATTTTTAGTCAATATTGTCATAATAATATAATTGCAATTGGCTAAAACCTACAAACAAAAAAGGGTCCATCCCAAGTTTTGGTTCCTTGAATTGGTTGACTGTGGTTTTGGCTAATTGTTTTTACTTTTTTTTAGATATTACATTCCCTTACGAAAATCATTATGTCGGAATTCGTTAAGAGTCAACTATTTTCGACGGTTATATGATGATTTAGCGGTTACAAATCCCGACAGAATAATTTTATAACGGGACCGTAATATTTTTCTACTTTTTAATCTGACCAATTAGTTAATTTGTTATTTGATTATTCAGTTCTCTTTTTTTTTTGTGTGTGTGTGTGTGTGTGTTAGAAATTAGAGATACAAAACGATCGCCCATGTTTGTTTGGTGGGATGGGATTGGAGAAAAATAATCCAAACCTATGGGATTATCCGAATCCCACCAAAAAGGAGGGATGGACTTATCCCACTGTCATGGGATAAAAACAATTTTAATCCCAGGCCAAGCTATCTATCCAGGGTCGGATCCTAGCAACCAAACATGGGATTAAGGCAGGATAAGGCGGGATATCCTGCCTTATTCTGGAAAGCAAACATGCATGAAATGAATAATAAGTCAGTGTGCTTTTATATTCGAGCTCAAATTTTGGACAACACAAGCCAATAATAAGTTTGAGTCTTAATTTATTAAGGTATATACAAAATTATATAAAAGAATTAAATTATGTTTTCATGTTCTAACCGTTAACAAAATGAGATTGATCTCATTGGGACTTGGGAGTTGGGACTAAGTCGTTAATATTGCAGATAAGGAATATTAATAAAATAATTAAAAAATAAATATAGAAAAAAAGTGGATGATTGTAGAAACCAGAAACCACTGGCGGAAATGTTGGGCTTCGATGGTTTTCTAAAGTTTCTGTTGGTATAGGGCCCCAATTCAGTGGGCCAGAGCAAGCACGATGGACTAGTCGGGTTTTTTTTTTTTTTGCCGGGTCTTTTTCGCGAT